CTCTCTCTCTTTCTTTCTTTCTTTCTTTCTTTCTCTCGATCTCAAGCTATGAATTGAATTCACATATAGTATTGTATAAATTTTAATTATAGCATAAAATTTTATAACAAATTCCCTTTTACTTCATTCACAAGTCTTTTAATTGATAATTTTGTCCCACTTTTTAAACAAACAAATGATTGACATTTGCTGTTCATTGAATTGCAATCGTTTTGCTCAACGTATTAATACATTTTAGCCGTTTTAGTGATCAAATCATATAAAATTTACTTATTCTTCAATACATTACCAATTGATTTAATATTTTGGTTACAAATCATATATTATTTGTGTTCATGTTTTTCCCAACATATTGTTTATTATAGATTTAATTAGTTTATTATAAAATTAATCATTGTTTGAAACAATTATATTTTTCACTGTGAATCCACTTATATTTCTATTGTAATGACATTTTGATTTCAATTATATCATGTATTGAACACTAATTCATATAAAATTTATTAAATAAAATTTTTAATTCATTTTTAACACCAATTGTTAATTTATTTTATAAATAATTGACACATCGATAGGTTTGGCGATATTTTATTGAGAAATAATTGAAACTGAAATACAAAATGTAAATGATTTAAATGTAAATATCATTTAAAACAAACACTAAATCCAGTAATAAATTTGTAAAATTGATACAAAAATTAAATATAACAACAATTTATAAGCGATTAAAACGTATGGAGAGATTACATACATGCAAATATTTAAACTGCATTTTATTTGATGTACAAAATCCTGACATCAATTCCCAGATATTAGGGATAAATAGTGTCGAGAAATAAAATGAAATCTATATTTTAATCATTGAATTGAGCGTTTAATTAATCTACAAATTTTTGACACAAATTTGTTTGCCTAAAGTGTAAAATAATTAAAACAAATTCTCAATTAAAATCAATTACAATAAAGTTTATTATATGTAAAATATATCCTAAAATTCATTACAAAAAAATAGGTATACAATTAACTAGTAATTTTAATTGTAATTAACGCTAATTTTAATTAAACCATGTATAATTTCCAGATATACTGTATATATTGTATAAAAAACTAATACATTATTAATACACCGATAAAAAAGTATTGAAAATCATATATAATTTCTGAACACAATTATTATAAGAGAAAAATGAGAAATAAATTGAGACAAAAAACAATTAAATAATTGTTTTGCTGTTTGAATACAAATTGGTTTTCAAGGTTTGTATAGAGAGGTAAAGTCATTGAGAGATATAAAGTGGCAAAAAGAAAGTAAGACAACGATATCCGTCGCATACAATCCAATGGCAGATCCAATGGCAGTGTGGAAGAGGTGGTGGAGACGGGGGGCGGCGGTCACTAATCGGTGGCCCCCTTAAGGGTCTCCTTATCAAACATATACTCTCCCAGACCTGAGCCGACACGTTTCAAATTGGTCACATAGTCGCTGAACTGTTTGATTGAGTCCACCTGTTCTGTCAGGAACTCGCTCTCCAAGAAGTCACACATCTGTTCCCATCATAAATACAATAAACAATAACATCAATACATAAATATTAATTATAAATGGATTACTAATTCACTATACAATGACATAGAGTGGGACAGCATATGAGCCACAACTGTCCCCCTATTATCACCCCAAATACAACCCCATATAACACAAGCCATAGTCACGCATACCTGAGGGTCTCCGTGATTGCCGGCCAACTTATGGAGATCCAGAAGCGACTGATTGACAGTCTTCTCGAGATTGAGCGCCGCCTGCATGGCGTCGATACCCGAACCCCAATCGTCGAGCGACGGCTTCTCCACACTCTGGAGGACAATCCTTCCGCCCCTCTTGTTCTGGTACTTCATGAGACGGGAGGCGTGGGTGCGCTCCTCATCCGACTGTTTGGCGAAGAACTTGTAAAAGCCGGGCAGAGCGACATCATCTCGGTCGAAGTAATAGGCCATCGATAGGTAACAGTAGGAGGCGTACAGTTCCAGATTGATCTGTTTGTTGATACAGGCCTCCACTTCGGCCGCGAAGTTTTGTCGTGGTTGCGACGACGCCATCGTTTAATGGTAGTGGTAGTTGTTTGAAGGGATCAGCTCTGGTGATAGTGGCGTAGAGTTTGTGTTGGTATCGGTTCCCGTGGTCTGGCTTTTAGGCACCCGAACAATGGTTAACGATATGATATACGGTATGTATAAGTGTTGGTTCAAACACTGTCGACGCACAACACCCTTATGTGTGAACTGAATGTGAAGTGAAAACACAAAGTAATGTTACAATGAGTGCGGATTTCAATTGCGTTTATTGTGTAAACATTTAACGTTAATCTTTATGTTTTTGCCTTTAATTTCAATTCACTTTTTGCATTCAATATCGTATAAAGTGTTACGAAAAAGTGCTTCATTTCTGAGCCCTATGTGTGGGTACGTATATTTTTACATTGCTGGACTTTTCTACCCTTTCAAATGGCATACATGCTATTTGTGGATTTAATGGATGTTGGATTTTTACTATGAAAATCTGAGTCGACAATCTAGCACTATTTGTATTAAGCATTATTTAGTTTGTTCAAATAGAATAATATTCTTTATAAAAAGGCCAAATACTTATTTCTAGCTAATATTTGATATCCATTCGTACATTACTTGCATAAAGTATGATAGAGAATATTTTGTCCCTATTTAACTTATCATGGTCTGTTAGAATTATACAGAATTATATAGAATTTGTAGAGAATATTTAAAGAATATGTTATTATTTGTAGAATATTACAAATATTTACATATTTTATTGATTCATAAGAATTACTACCTATTTATACAGTTGTATAATAATATCGATTATTTTTTGTAATGACAATTTTAATATTTAATATTTTTATATCAATATTACTAGCATTCAGGTTAGTTAAGTGCGTGCAATCCTATTCTGCATTTTAATTAATATTTACCCAAATAATTTGTTAATAATAAAACTTTTATTTTATTTTTATATTAACCTAATTATTGTCAATAAAAACACAAATAATTATGCTAGTAAAATGCAATATAACATGATATAAATATAATAAAATAGGAATATTCTACATAATATTTTGAAAAATCATCATCCAATAAATTCCGTTACCCTGGTAAAAATTGCAATGTAATTGTAGTGCGATATATATCATACCATACACTTGTACTGAATTTAATTGTGATATTAAACTGAAGAGAGCGCATACAGAATGAGATAATAAATGTTAAAATACTTATGATATAAATTAAACAAATACTGTATTATAACAATTTTAATACAATTCTCACATGATTTTGATAACAATATGGCAAAAAACAATTAATTTTTATCATGTTTACATAAAATGTCAATCGAGATGCACTAAATTGATCATGAACCTCAGATGTGGAATTGTCCCTCATATTCCCCTACTGTTCAATTGTATTATCTATAATTTGTATACAATATAAGTATAGTATTGTGAAAATTAATACAACTGTATATAACTTATAATAATAATTTATTATTAATAAATATCATTGATATTAAACATTTATTTTTGTAAATTTAAATATAAATACAAAAATCACTGAATTTTATATTTATAATAAACTATTTATTTATACAATAAATTCTCACAAAACTCAACACATTTTCAAACAATGCATTATTCAATGAGAAATGAAATGCTATAATAAAAACATATCATAATTAGGATAATAATTATAACGATAACAAAAACTATACAAATGAATGCATTTTTAATTAAGGGAGAGAAGGGAAAAGTGTATATTATATAATATAATTTATATAATTTATATTACATTATATAATATAAACATAAAATTATATAAACATTTCACGAATAATGTATTTTAAAACCACGATGAAAAAAGTTCTATCAAAATAATCAATTTATTTTAAAGAAGCACATATTCTTGGGATCAGATAACGTGGTGAACATTAGACTCATTACACCAGCGAAAAAAGTTGGCAAATATAACAAACTTTTGAGGGTGGTTCACAAAAGTAAGGATACTGTATGAGCTAGAACTATTTGAACTATTTATGATCTAACTATACTGAATACATATTATCTAGTATCAAACTTGACTTAAAGTAATCTACTAAGGTAATTTATTAATTATACGTAAAGATAGAATGTTCTCGCAGGTTTTGCATGTTGCGCAAAATTATTACTGTAATATTAAGTGATCAATATACAATTCGCCAAATCATCATATTTTATTTTTGATAGTTTATTATCAATTAAAATTGCTATTGTTGGAAAAATTCCATTGACTTTACATTGATTAGAACTTTTATTAACCTTTATCATTTCTAAACACATTCATTTATAATGTAACTATCAATAATAATTTATTATTATAAATAAAATGATCTAGCGTAATTAGAAATGATACATTATGTGAACGGTCCCACTGAATAAACTAAATTAAAACTTATGTTACTCTCTAATCAAATCATGTTACATTTTGTTTATAATAATATTTATACAAGTAATAAATAACTTATTGATGAAAATCGTGGTCTGTTTTCAATGATAATAATTTAATGCAATCGAAGGGAAATCCTAATTAAAACATGTTTTAAAAAAATAAAAAATTAATTTAACACAAAATATATTAATAAAACTTTAATTAAAAGTTATAATTAATTAAACGAGAAAAATATCATTCTTTTACTAAAACACAAGGTTATAATTAATAAATACAGGAAATTATTGGTAACCAAAATTACATAACCTAGGTGAACATGCGACAAATATTTGCCAACATTCCATATGACATACATATCTATCATATTTAAATAAGTAATAAAAGTAAGCATGATATTTAAAAATTGAGCATATAACAAATTATTTCTACCCTGTTCAAAAATTAACCATGTACACAGCATTTATCTCAACTAATTTCTAACAGACCTAGTTAATTTGCAATAACTTCCCAAAAATGGTGTTAATGTAAATAATCATGTCTAGACAAATGTTCCATAATACAAACAAAATATAAAAATATGCCCAACATAACTTAAAAACTTTTTAGCTATACAGTATCGAAAAAACTATAGATACCCTCGCTAATTTAAATAGCTTATTTAAATCTAAATTTGCAAACTGTTAACATCAAATGAACATTAACCTTTAAACTTTTAACTTATTATTAGTTTTTTTTGGCAAAAAATGCTCATTATAAAAATGGGTTTTTAATCATCTGAACTAGATCATAAGTTTTCGGCACAGAGTCATTATCTGGATCATTTGAATATGCGCTCTAATGTATTTGTGCTGTACTTAAAACAAATGCCTTTTTAGGCGAACCAAATTGATTTACGTTAACTCATAAACTCCTATATATATAACAATAAATTACGTCAATATATTTACGCTAAATAACTATCAAAACAACTTTTAGAACCTTTTTAGAGTATATCACATATGAATTGTGCATTAAATAAAGGCAAAAAACACGCATTTTGTATGAATCAGATATCAGGTTATAATCCAAAAATATTATTTCACGTAATTTATTGATAAAAATAGCTATTTTTGCGATACATATAATACTTTACGACAAGCATTAATAACTTCAGAGTTCGTAATACACGTACCGCGTTATGCAAGCAAATTAAAAAACGTGTTAATTAACACCAATGTTAGTATCAAGAGATTTAGTACTTTTCATCGCAACAAATATCATATAAAATACACATAAACCAAGTTGAATATAAAAAGCACCAAAACATCGGTACTAGTACTTAAACTAAATACAGCCCGAATTTTATATCGCAATATAAATCTAAAGGCAGGAGGATTAGTAGTGGATTAGTGCAGCATGAAACAATGCAATTTTTTTCGCACCTAGTTCACAAAAAGGGTTGCATTTGCCATCAATGTGTGAAAGAAATGCACTGCTCTATGCTGTGATAATTAACACTACTAATCCTCCTGCCTTTAGATTTATATTGAGATATAATACTCTGAGTGTACATGGTCAATACATGTGAGTCATATGACAACACACACACAGACATACAGTTATGGCATAACGTGTTATAGCGTGTGATTGTTATAGTGTTTTAATATCGCAAATAAATACAGCGTTTAATGTATTGAATCACAGAATCACAGCATTTCATAGCAGAGCAGTGTTTGTGTGCTTTACTGTAGTTATAAACACAAACCGAACGCGAGTCGTGTGTACTGTATATGTGTGTTGTGTTGTGCGATATCAACACACCGTAAATATACTGCACTTTTATTACAGCCACTAATTGTGTGCATAATATTGTGTGCAACGAATACAACACAACACAACACAAATCGAACGTTTCAAACAGTGATCGTAATTATTATAATAGTGTCTATAAAAGCGTGAGTCGATTGTAATCACGATTATTATTAGTACCAAAACTACAGCACATTTTTGGTATACAATCGGAACAGCGATTGCGGACTCAATTCGTAGCCCAAACTGACAGCCAATAGGAGTCCAGTGTTTTCGGTAAACCATTTGTTATTGTTTTTGTTGAGTGATTGTATTGTCTATTGTTTTGACCACTCATTCATTCATTCATTGTCTTCGTGTGGACACAGATCTAATCGTATGGCTATTGAGATGTGATTGAATACACCATTGAATACAACGATCACAACAACAACCATAACGACCGCTACTCCGGAAGAATATATATATATTACCACAAGTGTTGTGTTGGTCTCCGTTAGTGAGTGTCCGCACCGATCGGATCCCAAGAGACACGAAGAGTCGGATGTGTTGTGTTGTCGTCGGCCGCGGATGAGAGACACCACACATAACGATGACCGCAACGATGAACGCCCGGACCAGTTGTGTCTGCCATCGTATCTATGGCTTCAATCGGCTGATCCTCTGGTATTTGGTGATCGTATTTCACGCCTCCCGAGCGGCCACTCATTGGGTGGTCACCGAAG